TGGAATGTCGAATCAAATTCAAACGGAAGATGGGGAATACATATAGAGTGGTGTTAGAAAAATAACGAGTGGATGCTCGAGCGCCACTGTTTGCGACATTTAGCCATATCACTCAGTGTAGCTAACCACCGGTTACCATCATCTCGAGGTCCCCAGCCAGGGAGCCTAACGGGGCCTATGTGAGCCAGTCTCCTGGTCAGGGTTGGCATACCCACATGTCAGGTCTTAGCTTGACCGCCCTTCGTTTTTTTTCCAATCGCTACCAGCCTTGGCAAACATTGTTCGCCGCGTCACCAGATAGGTTGCCACGGCGAACGATGTTTGCCAAGGCTGTTAGCGATTGGAAAAAAACGAAGGGCGGTCAAACTAAGACCTGGCATGAGGGTATGAAAACCCTAACCAGGAGACTAGGTCACATAGGCCCCGTTAGGTTCCCTGGCTGGGGACCACGGGATGATGAGACACTATTGCAAACCATGTATTACATCCTGTCACTGAAGTCCACGCATGTTCTCATTATGGGCGACTTCAATTGCCCAAACCTAGCTAAATCAGCCGCCTCTCTACAACCGCTTGAGGAAACTTGCTCAGCTTATGGAATCCTATCCACTTTACAATTTTGTGAAGGAGCCCACGAGGTTTGGAGCCAACAAGTCATCGTCGGTTTTGGACTTGGTGTTAACCAAACGAGAACTGATGATGGAAACGATTTCCACTACAACTACATTAGGGTTTAGTGACCACGCCGTGTTGACGTTTGATTACATTTGCTATGCATCCGTACCGCATGTTTTTGACCACACCAAACTTAAAATTTTGGTAAGAGAATTCCAATTGAAATTTCTCAACGAACAGTGTGATCTCCTGGTATCCTGGGAAGAATTTACGAATCACCTGATGGAAATGGTGAAGGGCGTGACGAAAACCAAACGCATTGCCTACTCAAGTGGTCAAAGATCAGCAGTTCGAAGTCGCACAAAAAGTAGACTTCGCAGAAGAATACCTCATGGAGAGCTTATGAAAGGTTTCCTTGCAACAACACATGGTATACGTACTGTTTACTTTGAAGCCACTTACGGTCTCTTGTTTTTAAATGTTCTTTCACCGACACGTGGTTGACTCCAAGCGTAAAAGAGATTAACCACAAGAAAACACAGATGAAGCAGTATACGCATCACATAGGTTTTGTCTCAATGCAACTGGTGTTCGCAAAACGGGTTTTTATCTTTCTGGGGTATCTTTCGCGAAAACCAAAAATACGCTTGTTAGATTTTACACAGAACTGCCGTCTTTCTTGGAATTATTGCTATCACCTAAATTCTTTGTCGCGGGATCCGCTTTCGGTCATTCACTCTCATATCAACCTCCTGTGGTCAGTTGGGGCATTGAGAAGAGGGATTTTTTGGTTGAAAACAAAGGAACAACAAAGAATAAAATGTGGACGTTCTGGTCATAACTTATGGCTTTTATGTTACCAATCTTCTAGCTCACCATAACTTGTGACTTACAATCCATCGAAACTGCAGGACCATCAGGGATCATTTGTTTTCGCAAACAACTGTTCACACCCAATACTGTAACCGTATTTTGTCTTTTAGATTCTTGAAGGTCGGTCATCGCAACCATATCGAACAGAAAAAGAAGATGAGCTCGATTCCACAACCCGTTTGCAGAAATGCAAAGAAACTCAATCGTTTTCTAAAGGGGCGACTATGGATTTTCAAACTTGGGAGCCGGTAAAACTTGCAAAATCGAACATCCCGACTGATTCTAGTAATCCAGATGCGTATTTTTACAGCCAGTTGCCTTTTACTAAAAAGCCCAACCAATACTCTTGTTGGAAGACACACTGTGAACTGTCTACAGAAAGTTCATTAACGGAAAAGGACGAGTCTCGGTTGAAGAAGCCAAAAGCCAGAACTGCACCCTCTTTCGAGTTATCCTTACAAAAGTCTACCTGTTCGAAGACTGCCAAAAATACCAAACCTTGGCCGCCGGTCAGGCTTGGATCAACTCCAACGGGACCAATTCGAGCTGCCTTCAAACCTACACCTTTCGTGGAAATAAGTCAAATGGTCTACGACCAGCCGCCCTCTGGAAATTTCGCCACCGATTCAAATTTTGATAGCCAAAGGGACAAGCCAACAGACCATTCCCTAAACACCCAGCACCACGAGATGTCTGGTGCACAAACAGAATGGATGAACATGAAAGAACAACACCAGTTCACTTTGGTGGATCGGATCCGTCAACAAAATGAGGCATTCAATAGAGAAGAAACACTAGACGTCCGCAGAGTAGGTCTAACTGATAAGGAAGTAATGCAAAAACCTACCAATGAGCATCAGACTGTTCCAACCACTAATATCCAAGCTCGATTATCTGGTGAGTTCAGGGATGAAAACGTTCTCCAATTGGGTTTTAAAACTGCACAAGTCTGATAAGCAAGCAAGATTCGAAAATTCGTTGAACTGAAAAAGATGAATTTATAAATAAATTGATGACTTTAAGCTTTAAAACCATGTCCAAGCTGGGGGTTATACTTGATTACGTGGTTATGACAGGTAGATTTTCACAATCCTGATAGATAAGACAGCAGAGTGGATAGAGGGCTCTTTATAAATAGTCTTGGTTTGAAGCCGAGAAATTATCGAAATCATCTTGAACGCTTTGTCGCCATCAGATATGTATCTACTGTCGACCATATATTGTACAACTACACCTTTGTTATTGCCAAACCATGACGTTGCTGAGGAACACTTTGATAATCATCCTGTTCCGTGGCCGTAGTACCAAACACTTCCGATACATGCGGACTGATATAGTCGTTGAAAATTCAACCTTAGTTACACTAGAGTGATTACTTAACCTGATTTGAAATACAATGAAGTAGTGGAACTAGTGTGACTATTTGTGTTTAGTAAGACGAACAGACGGTTGAATCCTCGACATGATCCCAACATACACTGCCGGAAAAGTTTTACTAATTGCTTTTATTAGACGTATTTATAGGATTCTGAAATGGTCATCCCTCTTGAAGGGACTAGTAAAGTCAACTTTAATCTCCTTTGCAATCTGGCTTTGTCTATCGTTCGCGTACCGTTTTTGCTACCAAACTACCATGCACATCCCCACTCTTTTTGAACTAAAGCCAACTACTTACTACTTGGTTTATTGTAACACATTCTTGATACAGAACATTAAAAGAAAATTACCTCACGTTACAATCTCATGTTCTTCTCTGTTAGGATTGTACTTATATTTTGTCGTTATACACCGTTGATTGTTTGATGAGACTACCTACACCCCGTGGAGGTAATAGGGTAAAAAGCAACCGTTTTCCGATTTCAAAACACTTCAAAACACTATTTTCGTTCATGTTTACTTTGTAGCGCGTAGTGGAGACAAACTCAAAAGAATGGATATTTGGATCCGAGGAACCAGATGGATTTTATGCAAAAGGAATAAAAGAATATCTCTTCAAGATGTTACTACCGCTGTTAATAAGGCGAGAAAACAGTCCAAAGCAAAAACCAATAAGAAGTTCGAAGCTGATCATAAAAAAGAGAAAAACGCTTATGGTCAGTGAAGAATTTATTTGGATTATAACAGAGCAGTTTAAATGTAGACAAAATTTTAAAAATTTCTGGCGGTCTATACGGTTAAGTTGTCGAGCTTTGACGGATAAAACGTTAGACATGTGTGTATTATGTACGCGATTCGCACAGTCAGTGTCACTTGTTACCGAACCAAAGCACAACTATTTCAGACTTATATCAAGGATGGAAATGTTTTGTGATGACCAACGAAGAGTACTGGACAGCTGTTTCGTCGTGCTTTGGACTCGTCAGCAATGCATACTTTTTTGCGTCCCGGCCCGGATGTTCGCGGTTCCATTTTAGACAAGGACACAAAGTTACACACCGTTGACGAGTCCCCAAGAGGACGAAGCAACTGTCAAATGCCGTTTGTCGGTCATCACAATTATTTCCACCTTTTAAGAGGATCAAAACGTTTCCACCCGGAGATTGTTTTTAATTATTGATCTTCTTGGCTAATTCAAACATTCTTTAACAGATCTAATTAGATCTATGAGCACGAAGCACAATTTCTTGAATAATTCCTCCTCTATTTTGGATCTCATGATATGAATAATGTTAAGTTCGGTTACCAGTCCAACTCTGATATGATTTCTTTGGCTGTGTTCACTTAACTCACCTGAGATTTGATCGAAATATACCTGCAAATGTGTTTAGACGCCCGTTACTACCGAGAAGGATCCCTTGAGAAAACGTTGCTATGAAACGGTTACCCCAAAGGTTCATTCATACTAATAATAAACAATCTTGAAAAGTAACGCATCCCCAACAATGCCCCGGAAAGCCATCTATATCAAACTATCTTTTAAAGACGATCACCTTTCTGAACGGTGTGCGCCAAAACTAAAGTCAGCTTTGAACCGCATATTCCCCGCTGCTCGCCTTCGACTTGTTGTTTCTACTGGTAGAATCGATTTGGACGAACCTGTACATGGTTGACAATCCAGTTCTCTCGCAGACTGCACACCAGTTCTTCTGCAGTTGTTACATACGTAGGCAANGTAGGCAAAACCAACCGTTACTTATCACAACGGATGGCCGGATATATTTCAAAGTGGTTAGTGAAGTCGCTGATGCAAGCCACACCCAGTAATCAGGCGGACACACAAAACCCGGAGTCACCAATTGTAAAGCATATCATGACAACCAAACGCAGAATTGACCCCGCTTCCTCTT